ACATAGATGAATCAGTCCCCTCGTGGTGGGGGGTTAAGGAGAAACAGAGAGGAATCGGTCCCCTCGTGGTGGGGGTTAAGGGGAAAAGAGATGAATCAGTCCCCTGGTGGTGGGGGGTTAAGGAGAAACAGAGAGGAATCGGTCCCCTCGTGGTGGGGGTTAAGGGGAAACAGAGATGAATCCGTCCCCTAGTGGTGGGGGTTGAAAACACAAGAGAGGAATCAGTCCTCTCGTGGTGGGGGTTAATTAGAAACAAAGAGGAATCAGTCCCCTCTTAGTGGGGCGTTGAGAAGACCAGAGAGGAATCAGTTCTCTCGTGGTGGGGGTTAAGGGGAAACAGAGATGAATCAGTCCCCTCGTGGTGGGGGGTTAAGGGGAAACAGAGAGGAATCGGTCCCCTCGTGGTGGGGGTTAAGGGGAAACAGAGATGAATCAGTCCCCTCGTGGTGGGGGGTTAAGGGGAAGCAGAGAGGAATCAGTCCCCTCGTTAAAAGGATTAAATCCCCCTGAATGGCCCCGTACTGGAGGTTCAGCAGAGTGTGTCATTACCTATAACAGGATTACCCCAGCGGGACGTCTGACCTGTGTAGAGCAGCGCATCAAGTTATATGATGAAGTGTGTGCATTCTGAAGGCGAGGAGAGTGAGGGAGGGAGAGATGATTGTATCACCAGTGCAGTAGTTGAGAGGTTGGTGCCATCACCTGTGCAGTAGTTGAGAGGCTGGTGCCATCACCAGTGCAGTACTTGAGAGGTTGGTACCATCACCAGTGCAATAGTTGAGAGGTTGGTGCCATCACCAGTGTGGTACTTGAGAGGTTGGTGTCATCACCAGTGCAGTAGTTGAGAGGTTGGTGCCATCACCAGTGCTGTAGTTGAGAGGCTGGTGCCATCACCAGTGCAGTACTTGAGAGGCTGGTGCCATCACCAGTGCAGTAGTTGAGAGGTTGGTGCCATCACCAGTGCAGTAGTTGAGAGGCTGGTGCCATTACCAGTGCAGTACTTGAGAGGCTGATGCATCACCAGTGCAGTACTTGAGAGGCTGGTGCCATCACCAGTGCAGTACTTGAGAGGCTGGTGCATCACCAGTGCAGTACTTGAGAGACTGGTGCCATCACCAGTGCAGTACTTGAGAGGCTGGTGTATCACCAGTGCAGTAGTTGAGAGGTTGTTGCCATCACCAGTGCAGTAGTTGGGAGGTTGGTGCCATCACCAGTACAGTAGTTGAGAGGCTGGTGCATCACCAGTGCAGTAGTTGAGAGGCTGGTGTATCACCAGTGCAGTAGTTGAGAGGCTGGTGCATCACCAGTACAGTAGTTGAGAGGCTGGTGCATCACCAGTGCAGTAGTTGAGAGGCTGGTGCATCACCAGTGCAGTAGTTGAGAGGCTGGTGTATCACCAGTGCAGTAGTTAGAGGGCTGGTGCATCACCAGTACAGTAGTTGAGAGGCTGGTGCATCACCAGTGCAGTAGCTGAGAGGCTGGTGCATCACCAGTGCAGTAGTTGAGAGGCTGGTGTATCACCAGTGCAGTAGTTGAGAGGTTGTTGCCATCATCAGTGCAGTAGTTGAGAGGCTGGTGCCATCACCAGTACAGTAGATGAGAGGCTGGTGCCATCACCAGTGCAGTAGTTGAGAGGCTGGTGCCATCACCAGTACAGTAGTTGAGAGGCTGGTGCCATCACCAGTACAGTAGTTGAGAGGCTGGTGCCATTACCAGTACAGTAGTTGAGAGGCTGGTGCCATCACCAGTACAGTACTTGAGAGGCTGGTGCCATCACTAGTACAGTAGTTGAGAGGCTGGTGCCATCACCAGTACAGTAGTTGAGAGGCTGGTGCCATCACCAGTACAGTAGTTGAGAGGCTGGTGCCATCACCAGTACAGTAGTTGAGAGGCTGGTGCCATCACCAGTACAGTAGTTGAGAGGCTGGTGCCATCACCAGTACAGTAGTTGAGAGGCTGGTGCCATCACCAGTACAGTAGTTGAGAGGCTGGTGCCATCACCAGTACAGCAGCTGAGAGGGCTGGTGCCATCCCAGTACAGTAGTTTGAGAGGCTGGTGCCATCACCAGTACAGTAGTTGAGAGGCTGTGCCATCACCAGTACAGCAGCTGAGAGGCTGGGCCATCACCAGTACAGCAGCTGAGAGGCTGGTGCCATCACCAGTACAGCAGCTGAGAGGCTGGTGCCATCACCAGTACAGCAGCTGAGAGGCTGGTGCCATCACCAGTACAGCAGCTGAGAGGCAGGTGCCATCACCAGTACAGCAGCTGAGAGGCTGGTGCCATCACCAGTACAGCAGCTGAGAGGCTGGTGCCATCACCAGTACAGCAGCTGAGAGGCTGGTGCCATCACCAGTACAGCAGCTGAGAGGCTGGTGCCATCACCAGTACAGCAGCTGAGAGGCTGGTGCCATCACCAGTACAGCAGCTGAGAGGCTGGTGCCATCACCAGTACAGCAGCTGAGAGGCTGGTGCCATCACCAGTACAGCAGCTGAGAGGCTGGTGCCATCACCAGTACAGCAGCTGAGAGGCTGGTGCCATCACCAGTACAGCAGCTGAGAGGCTGGTGCCATCACCAGTACAGCAGCTGAGAGGCTGGTGCCATCACCAGTACAGCAGCTGAGAGGCTGGTGCCATCACCAGTACAGCAGCTGAGAGGCTGGTGCCATCACCAGTACAGCAGCTGAGAGGCTGGTGCCATCACCAGTACAGCAGCTGAGAGGCTGGTGCCATCACCAGTACAGCAGCTGAGAGGCTGGTGCCATCACCAGTACAACAGCTGAGAGGCTGGTGCCATCACCAGTACAGCAGCTGAGAGGCTGGTGCCATCACCAGTACAGCAGCTGAGAGGCTGGTGCCATCACCAGTACAGCAGCTGAGAGCTGGTGCCATCACCAGTACAGCAGCTGAGAGGCTGGTGCCATCACCAGTACAACAGCTGAGAGGCTGGTGCCATCACCAGTACAGCAGCTGAGAGGCTGGTGCCATCACCAGTACAGCAGCTGAGAGGCTGGTGCCATCACCAGTACAGCAGCTGAGAGGCTGGTGGCCATCACCAGTACAGCAGCTGAGAGGCTGGTGCCATACCAGTACAGCAGCTGAGAGTCTGGTGCCATCACCAGTACAGCAGCTGAGAGGCTGGTGCCATCACCAGTACAACAGCTGAGAGGCTGGTGCCATCACCAGTACAGACAGCTGAGAGGCTGGTGCCATCACCAGTACAGCAGCTGAGAGGCTGGTGCCATCACCAGTACAGCAGCTGAGAGGCTGGTGCCATCACCAGTACAGCAGCTGAGGGGCTGGTGCCATCACCAGTTACAGCAGCTGAGAGGCTGGTGCCATCACCAGTACAGCAGCTGAGAGGCTGGTGCCATCACCAGTACAGCAGCTGAGAGGCTGGTGCCATCACCAAGAGGCAAGAGAACATTTGTGTCGCCTCCACAAATCAATATACGATAACTCATACGCCATGTCAAAGGCCCACCATGGAAATGTACTCGTATACTCTTGACTTCGGAACTCTCTAAGATGGTTTGAAAATTGAGTTATATGTATGTATATATATGTATTTTGTAGATGAATGGTTCAGAGAACCGACATGTTGATAAATTAGACACATGTGCAACTCTTGGGTATCTTTATTGAGGAAACGTTTCGCCACACAGTGGCTTCATCAGTCCATACAAAGGAGAATCTTGATTCTCCTTTGTATGGACGATGAAGCCACTGTGTGGCGAAACGTTTCCTCAATAAAGATACCCAAGAGTTGCACATGTGTCTAATTTATCAACTATATATATGTTTTTATGTATATATATGTATACGCAACGATCACAGCAAACAGGTGATGTGAGGATATACAAAATAACCACAATGAAAAATAGTGAAATCACAGACCCTTTATGATTTCTCACATCATCAGGGATAATAAAATTATAGGTCTGAGATGTGACCTCACACACACGACCCAACACGCTGGGTGTGGCAGTGTACTTCATAAGTTTGAGATGTGACCTCGCATGTCAGGTCACATGTCAAGTAAAACTTGATAAGGCTAAAATTTCTACAAATTTCTCACAAATTTTATTCATTATAAATTATTTTAATTGATATAACAGACCTTATATCTACATTAAATTTATTTTTTTAACTGACCTTATATCTATATTAAATTTAATTTATATAACTGATCTTATATCCATATTAAAATGAGAACTATATTTATGACACTTGATTCGATATTTCTTTCAATGATAGACCTTGATGCAACCTTTAAGGCGTTTGAAAAATCAATTTGGACATTAGACTCTTGTCCAGTTCTATTGCTATGTTTATGTTGTGGTAATCTTAGTTCAAGACTTTTTTAGCGTGACCATAACAGACTGTTTTACAGACACACACACACACACACACACACACACACACACACACACACACACACACACACACACACACACACACACACACACACCACACACATACACATACACACACACACAACACATACACACACACACACACCACACACACACACACACACACACACACACACACACACACACACACACACACACACACACACACAATGTGTTTAACAATTCGCAAACAGGCGAAATTATTTACATTGTCTCTACGTCCACAGCAGGACTCACGAATTGTTAAGCATTTGAAATCTCTTTCGTTGTCCACTTCATGTGGCAGGATTTGATGAAATAACTTTCAAAACGAGCTTGGTGCCCCTGGGTATACGGGAACATCGTCTAGCTCCGGCTAGGTGCCCATACTTTTCCGGGGTCTGGCTCCGTGGTTACATACTGTGTATTCGGATACAGAGTTTGCAGGTTCGAGTCCTGTTGTGGACGTAGAGACTTTATCAAATTTACTTGATAAATTACTTGAAGTATAAGACGTCTCCTGGATAAATGCCGTACAATACATTGTATCTTATTCACTATGTATGTAGCAAGTTTTTGTAAAATAATGTTGTGTGGTTTTGACAGGCACACTCACCGTCATCAACTGTGTCAGTGTTCGTCTATCAATGAGGATTCAGACTGTCTTCACAGGTGCCAAACTGTTGGCACTGGTGATCATCATAGTTGCTGGAGCACTTCACTTATGTCGAGGTGAGTACACACACACACACACACTGACGACACTGGAGGACAGGAGAGATAGGGGGGACATGATAACGACATACAAAATACTGAGAGGAAATGACAAGGTGGACAAAGACAGGATGTTCCAGAGATTGGACACAGTAACAAGGGGACACAGTTGGAAGCTGAAGACACAGATGAATCACAGGGATGTTAGGAAGTATTTCTTCAGCCACAGAGTAGTCAGTAAGTGGAATAGTTTGGGAAGCGATGTAGTGGAGGCAGGATCCATACATAGCTTTAAGCAGAGGTATGATAAAGCTCACGGCTCAGGGAGAGTGACCTAGTAGCAATCAGTGAAGAGGCGGGGCCAGGAGCTCGGACTCGACCCCCGCAACCTCAACTAGGTGAGTACAACTAGGTGAGTACACACACACACACACACACACACACACACACACACACACAGCTAGTGATCATGTGGTTCTGTGCTTCGACTACATAGTTGAGCTCCAAGTGGAGAGAGTAGCAGGAATAAGGTGGGAAAAACCAAACTACAAAAGGGGGAACTACTCAGGCATGAGGAACTTCCTTCAAAACATTCAGTGGGAGAGGGAACTGACAGGAAAACCAGTACAAGAAATGATGGACTACGTGGCAACAAAATGTAAGGAGGCAGTGGATAGGTTTGTTCCCAAGGGAAACGGAAATAATGGGAAGAACAGAACGAGTCCTTGGTTCACCCAAAGGTGTAGGGAGGCAAAAACTAGGTGTACTAGAGAATGGAAAAGGTACAGAAGACAGAGAACTCAGGAAAATAAAGAGATCAGCCGAAGAGCCAGAAACGAATATGCACAGATAAGAAGGGAGGCTCAGCGACAATATGAAAATGACATAGCATCGAAAGTCAAGACTGACCCGAAGCTGTTGTACAGCCACATCAGGAGGAAAACAACAGTCAAGGACCAGGTAATCAGACTGATGAAGGGTGATGGGGAATTCACAAGAAACGACCGAGAGGTTCAACACGAGATTTAAAGAAGTATTTACAGTGGAAACCAGTAGGACTCCAGGAAATCAGAACAGGGGGGTACACCAGCAAGTGCTGGATGAGGTACATATAACCAAGGAGGAAGTGAAGAAGCTGCTATGCGAACTTGACACCTCAAAGGCGGTGGGACCAGACAACATCTATCCGTGGGTCCTTAAAGAGGGAGCAGAGATATTGTGTGTGCCATTAACAAAGATCTTCAACACATCATTTGAAACTGGGCAACTCCCTGAGGAATGGAAGATGGCTAATGTAGTCCCAATTTTTAAAAAGGGAGACAGACATGAGGCACTAAACTACAGACCTGTATCACTAACGTGTATAGTATGCAAGGTCATGGAGAAGATCATCAGAAGGAGAGTGGTGGAGCACCTGGAAAGAAACAAGTGTATAATTGACAACCAGCACGGTTTCAGGGAAGGAAAATCCTGTGTCACAAACCTACTAGAGTTTTATGATGAGGTGACAGAAGTAAGACAAGAGAGAGAGGGGTGGATCGACTGCATTCTTTTGGACTGCAAGAAGGCCTTCGACACAGTCCCTCACAAGAGGTTAATGCAAAAGCTAGAGGATCAGGCACACATAACAGGAAAGGCACTGCAATGGATCAGAGAATACCTGACAGGGAGGCAACAACGAGTCATGGTACGTGACGAGGTGTCAGAGTGGGAGCTTGTGACAATCGGGGTTCCACAGGGGTCAGTCCTAGGACCTGTGCTGTTCTTGGTATATGTGAACGACATAACGGAAGGGATAGACTCAGAAGTGTCCTTGTTTGCAGATGATGTGAAGTTAATGAGAAGAATCAAATCGGATGAGGATCAGGCAGGACTACAAAGAGACCTGGACAGGCTACAAGCCTGGTCCAGCAACTGGCTCCTTGAGTTTAACCCTGCCAAATGCAAAGTCATGAAGATTGGGGAAGGGCAAAGAAGACCGCAGACACAATACAGTTTAGATGGCCAAAGGCTGCAAACCTCACTCAAGGAAAAAGATCTGGGGGTGAGTATAACACCGAGCATATCTCCTGAGGCGCACATCAATCAGATAACTGCTGCAGCATACGGACGCCTGGCAAACCTACGGATAGCGTTCCGATACCTCAGTAAGGATTCGTTCAAGACTCTGTATACCATTTACGTCAGGCCCATACTGGAGTATGCAGCACCAGTTTGGAATCCACACCTAGTCAAGCACGTCAAGAAATTAGAGAAAGTGCAAAGGTTTGCAACAAGGCTAGTCCCAGAGCTACGGGGATTGTCCTACGAAGAAAGGTTGAGGGAAATCGGCCTGACGACACTGGAGGACAGGAGGGTCAGGGAGACATGATAACGACATATAAAATACTGCGTGGAATAGACAAGGTGGACAAAGACGGGATGTTCCAGAGACGGGACACAGACACAAGAGGTCACAATTGGAAGTTGAAGACTCAGATGAATCAAAGGGATGTTAGGAAGTATTTCTTCAATCATAGAGTAGTCAGACCGTGGAATAGCCTAGAAAGTGACGTAGTGGAGGCGGGAACCATACATAGTTTTAAGGCGAGGTATGATGAAGCTCATGGGGCAGGGAGAGAGAGGACCTAGTAGCAATCAGCGAAGAGGCGGGGCCAGGAGCTATGACTCGACCCCTGCAACCACAAATAGGTGAGTACAAATAGGTGAGTACACACACACAGGAACTCAACAAGAGATTCAAACAAGTGTTCACAGAGGAGACGGAAGGGGCTGCAGAAAAACGGAGAGGTGGGGCACATCACCAAGTGCTGGACACAGTGCACACAACCGAGGAAGAAGTGAAGAGGCTTCTGAGTGAGCTAGATACCTCAAAGGCAATGGGGCCAGATAACATCTCTCCATGGGTCCTGAGAGAGGGAGCAGAGTCGCTATGTGTACCCCTAACAACAATATTCAATACGTCTATCGAAACAGGGAGATTGCCTGAGGCATGGAAGACAGCAAATGTAGTCCCAATCTTTAAAAAAGGAGACAGACATGAAGCACTAAACTACAGACCAGTGTCACTGACATGTATAGTATGCAAAATCATGGAGAAGATTATAAGGAGAAGAGTGGTGGAACACCTAGAAAGGAACGATCTCATCAACAGCAGCCAACATGGTTTCAGGGACGGGAAATCCTGTGTCACAAACCTACTGGAGTTCTATGACATGGTGACAGCAGTAAGACAAGAGAGAGAGGGGTGGGTGGATTGCATATTCTTGGACCGCAAGAAGACGTTTGACACAGTTCCACACAAGAGATTGGTGCAAAAACTGGAGGACCAAGCAGGGATAACAGGGAAGGCACTACAATGGATCAGGGAATACTTGTCAGGAAGACAGCAGTGAGTCATGGTACGTGACGAGGTGTCAGAGTGGGCACCTGTGACCAGCGGGGTCCCACAGGGGTCAGTCCTAGGACCAGTGCTGTTTCTGGTATTTGTGAACGACATGGCGGAAGGAATAGACTCTGAGGTGTCCCTGTTTGCAGATGACGAAGTTGATGAGAAGAATTCACTCGATCAAAGACCAGGCAGAACTACAAAGGGATCTGGACAGGCTGCAGACCTGTCCAGCAATTGGCTCCTGGAGTTCAATCCCACCAAGTGCAAAGTCATGAAGATTGGGGAAGAGCAAAGAAGACCGCAGACGGAGTACAGTCTAGGGGGCCAGAGACTGCAAACCTCACTCAAGGAAAAAGATCTTGGGGTGAGTATAACACCAGGCACATCTCCTGAAGCGCACATCAACCAAATAACTGCTGCAGCATATGGGCGCCTAGCAAACCTCAGAACAGCATTCCGACATCTTAATAAGGAATCATTCAGGACCCTGTACACCGTGTATGTTAGGCCCATATTGGAGTATGCGGCACCAGTTTGGAACCCACACCTAGCCAAGCACGTGAAGAAACTAGAGAAAGTGCAAAGGTTTGCAACAAGACTAGTCCCAGAGCTAAGAGGTATGTCCTACGAGGAGAGGTTAAGGGAAATCAACCTGACGACACTGGAGGACAGGAGAGATAGGGGGACATGATAACGACATACAAAATACTGGGAGGAATTGACAAGGTGGACAAAGACAGGATGTTCCAGAGATTGGACACAGTAACAAGGGGACACAGTTGGAAGCTGAAGACACAGATGAATCACAGGGATGTTAGGAAGTATTTCTTCAGCCACAGAGTAGTCAGTAAGTGGAATAGTTTGGGAAGCGATGTAGTGGAGGCAGGATCCATACATAGCTTTAAGCAGAGGTATGATAAAGCTCACGGTTCAGGGAGAGTGACCTAGTAGCGATCAGTGAAGAGGCGGGGCCAGGAGCTCGGACTCGACCCCTGCAACCTCAACTAGGTGAGTACAACTAGGTGAGTACACACACACACACCACACACACACACACACACACACACACACACACACACACACACACACACACACACGTGTACATTCCCTACATTTCACATGAGTTTCTGTTATAAGCGACGTAGAAGCGGCTAACTTGCAGTGTATTTTCTGAAGCGCTAAACCCGTGTGGGTCATGCAGCTTCATTACTGGAAGGCTGTAAGTAGCTGCAGGTGTGTGTATTGTCAGCGAGGTAAGTCAGAATACCGCGTCGCACTGTTTACTGACAAGTGCTGGAGAACAGTGTACTGACAGGTGTTGGAGAACAATGTTTGTACTGACAGGTGCTGGAGAACAATGTACTGACAGGTGTTGGAGAACAATGTTTGTACTGACAGGTCTTGGAGAACAATGTGTTTTACCAAGACAATGTTTATGTCAACACACGATCACGCAAGCAAGAAGGACCAATCTCACATATTTATTAAGTGTGACATACAAACCTTGATAATAGATATCCACAAACTGGTTAGAAACACACGTGTCTTAGACACGTATCTCAGACACATACGTGTCTTAGAAACACACGTGTGTTAGACACGTGACTCAGACACACACGTGTCTTAG